CGTGATTAAAGGACTAACCTGCTTGCTAAGTGTGAACAGTAATAGGTTATCTCACGGTACTTAATGAAAGCCAAAATGATGTGTTGTTGTATAAACAATCTAGTTCAAGCACAAGACAACAATGCAAATGGAATTCATGTGAAGGCTTATTTATTGTGGGATTTCCATGTACTATGTGATAGCAAGCTCATGATTATTAGTTAATGAGACATGATGGATTGCATATGGAATGGTCTCATATCCTCAAGCTTGCTAAATTAAAATGAAAAAGATAACAATACATATGAATGGATGATTCAACACAAGATGTGACTTGATGGCTTGAGATGGTGAAGATAGCAAGGAAAGGCTTCGAGGTACTAAGCAAGGGTGAAGGGCAAGCGACGGCTTGGCGGCCGAAGAACCTAGCTAGGGTGAAGAAGAAAGTACTTGCATTTAGTTGAGGTACTAGTCAAGCTAAGATGGTCATATTGATGTGAAGGATCAAATCTATAATGAAGTATTTGATGGAAGTGACTTGATACATTTGGGATTATTCAAACTTGATGAATGGAATCAAGTCACATGCTCAAGATGGCTATGCTCAAGTGAAGATCAACATCAACATGTTAGCACCCTTACTTGATGAAGATTGGAAGGGACGGCATCAATTCAAAAGAACAACTCAAGTGGTACAAATTCATATTTCCGTTTGTCTTTAGTTTAATAGGTATGCCGTACTATTAAGAGGGATGCATCATGTTGATAGATAATGTTTCATAGGTGCTCAAGCCAACCCATGTGAGTTTTGAGTATTTGAGAGACAAAAGAGCTAACTGATTTGTTGCTGGTCTGGCAATACCGGACGTGTCCGGTATTCATACCGACGTGTCCGATTTGTCCAAAGAATTGTAAAATTGTTGTTCTCAGGTTGGTAGGTCGGGAGTTCCGACGGTCGGAGTCCCGCATGGGTCGGGAGTTCCGGCGTGTACGCACTTCAACCCGACTTGGAGGGTTCATCGTCTCGGGTCATACCGGACGTGTCCAGATTAATATCGGACGTGTCCGGTATGGATGACCGTAAGCCAACGGCTAGTTTTCAAAAGCCGTGAGGGTCGGGAGTTCCGGCGTATGTCGGGAGTTCCGACGGTCGGGAGTTCCGACATATGTCGGGAGTTCCGACACCTCACTAACTTTAACTCGCCACATGTTTTTCAAAATTACCGAGGGTCGGGGTTCCGACTTGAGTCGGGAGTTCCGACGGTCGGAAGTCCCGCATTCTTCGGAGTTCCGTGCCTCACAACATCATCAGTAACTTAGTTACCGTTGGCGCGATCGAAGTCATACCGGACGTGTCCGGTATGCATACCGGACGTGTCCGGATTGCAAACGGCTATAAACGGCTAGTTTTTCAAGGGGCTATAATACCCCCAAGCCTCCACCTTTGGAGGCTGCTGATTCTACTTGACTTAGACACACGTTTTTGAGCCTTGCCAACCCTCTCTTAGTGAGTGATTGATCAAACTTGCAAAATCAATTTGTGGGTTGAGTGAAATTCAAAAGAGAGCCATCCAACCACTTGAGCACTTGTGCATATTGTCAATCTCGTGATTCGCATTTGTTACTCTTGGACTCTTCGTCCTAGACGGTTAGACGTCGCGGAGAGCACCCGGGAGATTGTGGTGTGCCTCGGAAAGTTTAGAAGTCGATTCCGCCACCTCGGAATCAATTAGTGGAAGGAGGAAAAGGAGTTGGAAAAGACTCCTGCTAGAGTGACCTTCGTGGTATCCTCAAGGGCTGACCTTCACTGGTCGCCTGCAGCCCCCTCAACGGAGAGTAGGACTCGAACGAGTCCGAACCTTCAGTAAAACAAATATCGTGTCTCAATTCGCATTTCATTTGATATTTGTGTTGCTCTAGCACTTGTGCAGTTCTCTCGTGTACACCGATAGTTAAATTAGGTGCCTGCAGTTTGGTTTGAAGATAGAAATCAAAAGGAGCAAGTTCGGGGCTGATCTGCAGAATGTGTATCTGGGACACGTCCCAGATTTCTACTGCACTAAAAAATATTTATTCTCTGTTCTAACTTGATGTTGCAGGGTTGTAGCTTCTAGATATATTCTTTATACCTTGTTTACTCTGTGGCTAACTTGTGAGGGGTGGTAGTACTCTTAATTTGGAGTTTCCATTTTGGAAACTCCCCTTTCTAATTGTTTCCGCATTTAAAGGTGTTAATTTTCAGAAACGCCTATTCACCCCCCCTCTAGGCGACATCCTAGGTCCTTTCACAAACGTATATTTCAAGTGTTTCATCTGGGTGTTTCAAATGTTGCAATGACTATATACACATGTTGCAAGCATATATTTCATGTTGCAATCGCATTTTTCAGTTGTTTCATAAGTACGTTTCATATGTTTCATCTGGATATTGTAGAAGTATATCTTGATGTTACGTAACATGCATGTGTTTAAGCATATGTTTTCAAGTGTTTCAGGTATTCCATACGTATGTTGCAAGTGTTTTATCTGGATGTTGCAAAAATAGATTTGGATGTTGTATATGTTGGTATCGCTATAAACGCATGTTTTATTTGTTTTAGACTTATGTTTCAAGTGTTTTATATAGATGTTTCAAAAGTAGATCTATGGGAGCACATGTTGCAATGGAGCTTGTGGCGGAGGGACGGGGGCCTGCCGCAACCGCCTATTGTTGTTGTTGTTTGGGCTCCGCCATGGGTCACCGTGCGGGCGCCTAAGGCCGGTAGATGGCTCTGCAGCGCCCATAGGCAGGTGACTAGGACCGGTCCCATTCACATGCGGGTGCGTGAAACGGAGCTGGCTTCCCGCGGGCGCGCATGACGTGATGCGGAGCTACGTCCGGACGCGCCATCCGTCCGGACGTCGGAGCGCTAGCCCTTCCAAACAAAATTTGATTGATCGATTCTGGAAGGTGCGAGCGGTTCAATATGAACGAGAGGAAAAAAAAACAATGCCAAGAGCTGCGTCAATCTGCTGTTCATCGAACGAAGCTCTTATCTTTTGTCTCTCGCGCCAGATGAAACAAAAGAATAGTTCTCTTTCCTAGTCACGGATCATAGCGAAACTAGAGCTGACCTGCTAAAAGCAGTGCATAACTAGATGCATTTTTTTTTCTGATAGAGAGATAAAATGGAATTCTTCATAGACAAAAAAAAAGGAATTTCTGTATAGCCTCTGTTTCGAGACACTATGGCTTTATAGGGTTGACCCTGGTAACAAAAAAAGAATCCATAAGAACTTGGATCCAACACAATGAAGGTTCTTGAAGAAGTGTTGCCATGCACCACAAGGTCACTTAGCTCCCCTTTCAAAGAAAAAAAAAGGTCACTAGCTCACGATCTGCAATTCTGTAGTCACGGAGCTCTATACAAAAGAACGATAACGCTAAGTGTCGTGGAGCAAGGACACAACACTAAACGAGTGGGCATCAGATGATAATAACAATAGATTTTGCCAGATATTACTCAGATAATAGAAAACATGTTGCGATCGAAAACACACCAGGGCACAAACAGGACATGCTAAATTGTTAATGATCAATCACGACGGCAAGATACAACACCGAAGAAAAAGATACCGGGTACACACAACATCAGGGCATCATGGTCATGATCACAAACACTTCAATTGCTGATTTGCTGAACTGGAACAGGACTAGGCCAGCATGAGCGAGAATTGATAAGTACTCGGGCACAGAACACTAATAAAAACACCCACCTTTGGAGATTACTGGACATGTATCATCATAAGACATAAGACACGATGTTAAAATACCATGCTTTCCTAAGAACCTGAGAGCAAAGTATAATAGGCATGCTCAGCATAATTCCTCAGAAGCAAAAGTGTCCAGCATTATGTGCCCGAGCAATTCAACTCCCTAAGCGAAGAGATCCGTTAAGACTGCAGGCTGTGAATTATAAATATGAACAAGTCCAATGTACGTATGATTCAAAGGTTCAACTACCTACCAGAAATATGGGTGGATATATAGTCAGTTGTATTACAAATTCAGTTGAATTCGATCAGTCCAGGTCTCATCCAAGGACTACCTTCCAAATTGTTTTAAGTTATCAGAGATTTAGGGTATGAGGAACTAAAACTCGGTGTGCTATAAGCATTTGTGCATCCAGAACTCATGGTCTTTTATTGCTAATCTTACCATGAGACAGGTCTAATCATTGTCTGCAAGATTCAACCATTCTTTCATAGACCATATGTACAAAAATAATTTACCTGAAACAATGAAAGACATAATGCTACCAGCATGTTCAGTTTGGATTGCGTACTTGAGGCAGGTTGAAGCTGGACTCACATTTATGCTAGCCAGGAAGTGAAGCATTTGCAGATCTCCACTAGCCCATCAAACAACCAGAAAAGCATAAAACTACACAAGGATAGTGGTTACTCACAGAAAATGCTCAATTTTGCCACAAGGTTGATCATTAAGATGACTAGGGACCTTAAGTGTACACGTTCGTTCTTACTCGTCAATCACAGTGTAATGCATAGAAGCTGATCACAAATATGAGAAGCTGAGAATGCTAGCAAATAAACATCCTTAAACCTTCTATGTATATCAATACATAGACTGGCAGTAAACTCCCGGCTTCTCAAAAAAATCCTTATAACCACTTAACTCTTATCTGCACAAAACAAACAATAAAGCATGAACTTCTGCCTACAATATTAATAGTGGTATGCTGATACTGCAACCCCACACATAAAGCAAGGACTTCTTCATAACTTAGTATACTTGCAAGCCGATCGACTTTTTTTGTTGAGGAAAAAAGATCGACTTGATCTGATAATCTCATTATTAGAGTTGTCTACTAACCCACACAATGCATCGATTCATCAAGAAACAACTATGGAATTTCTATTACAAATCCTCACTAGTCACCATGACTAGAAGCTCATAACTTGTGAGCTGAATAAACACAACTTTGGCGAGTAAATTGTCAGCAATTGTTCACCACCTGACCTCAGTGACGCGGGCTCCTTCGAAGTATGTATACATCGGATTCCTCGTAGGCGTACTCAGGGTCGAGGTGCTCCCGTGCCACCTTCTCGATCACCGGGAAGGCAGCCGGAACAGAGTCCCAGAACGCCTGGTGCGCCTCGGGCGACCGGATCTGGTAGCCGAGCAGCACCACGCCGCGCTCGGCGTCGGCGAGCGCATCCATGGCCGCGATGAGGTGCGGCACGGACTCCTGGACGTAGACCACGTCTGCGGCGACGACGAGGTCGAAGCGGCGCGGGGTGGCTAGCGTGGCGAGATGCGCGGGGCAGTTCCAGTGGAGCTGGGCGAGACGCGGCGCGCGGGGGAGGTGGACGCGGTTGCGCCGCAGGTTGCGGCGGAGCGCCGGGAGCACGGCGGCGATGTCGGTGAGGACGAGGTCGGTGAGGCCGAGGCGGGAGAGGCCGAACCCTGCCGGGCCGCAGCCGGCGCCGAGCTCCACGGCCCGCGTTCCGGGGAAGCGGAGCACATCGGCGAAGGGGAGGGCCGGGTCGCGGAGGCAGCGCTCGACGAACTTGACGAGGACCAGGGACGAGGGCCACACAGAGGTGCCCACCTCGAAGGAGTCGTTATCCTGCTCGAACGTCAGCACCGCGCCGCCCACCGGAAGCTCCACCACCGGAGACGCAGTGAACCGCATCTCCTCTCCGCCGCCGCCGGCCCGTCAAGCCACTGAAGCGAAGCGAAGCGAATTGGACGGCTGCAATTCCGTGCGCGGCCGATCCTCCCCCGATGGAGGCGACAGTGGAGAGAATCTTAGGCGCGAGACCCTCATCAAATTTTAAATTGAAATATAATCCCCTTAAACTTCATGGAGCAAAATACCTTATGGACACAAATGTAATAAATAAAACATTACAGGGCAGAAGTGCAAAAAACAGAAGCAACAGCGCACTGCCGAGACCTCCCCCTCCGTCTCGTCTCTCCCCACACGGTCGCCCCTCTTCCGGTCCTCCCTGATGGATCCCAAGGCGGCGGCGAAGTCGAAGCGCTCGCACACGGTGCACGGCCGCCGCGTCCACCAGACCCCCGCCGCCGCGGCAGTGCACAGGCAGAAGCGTGCCGCCGCCGCTGCCGCCACCTCATCCGGCCCCCGCAGCCGCAACCTCCCCTCGAACTGGGACCGCTACGACGACGAGGGCGAGGCGGAGGACTCCGCGGCCGTCGGGGAATGGACAGGCGAGGTGGCTCCGCGCAGCAAGGGTGCCGACTTCGGATTCCTGCTAGAGCAGGCCCGAGCGCAGCCCCCCGGGGGCCGGGACCTCAGCGCGCCGTGTCTCCCCTCCCAGGACTTGCCATTTGGTGAGTGAGTGCCGCTGTCTTTCGTTTCGGCTGCTACTTGCATCCTGCTCTGTCACTATCAGTACATTGAGTTAGCTCGTTGAGTTGTACATTGAGTAAGCTCATTGGCATTTTCGCTTAAGCAGAAGTTGTGGTGCTGGTGCTCCCTATAAATTTGCATTAGATACTGGTACCTAGGGAAATTCTAGTCATACTGATTCTGAACAAATTTTATTTCTCCAAACACCCTAGGGTATTCTATTTAGTTTTGGTGTAGTCCTGATACGAACATTTGAGTTCAGTTCAAATCTCCTAGACTGGATGAATCGATATATTGGTGATAATTCCTATCGTGCTGAGTTCGCTTATTGTAACTGCATATGCCTTTTTTGAATAGTTCCACAATGATATGCATAATCTGGAATCTTCATGATACACATGCGTGGGATGTGTTAATTGAAGATTGACCTTTATTTCTGTTGTCACTTTTAAGACTGTTGATTTGCAGTTTTCTAGATTTTATGCAGGCTTCTACCTCTATGCTCGAAGCTAAAGGTGAAAGAATCTTGTCCTGGTGTGCTGATGATAACTTTATATTAGAGGACGACCTAGCACCAGATTTTGAGGTAGAATATATCAACTTTGTAAACTGTTTTGTGTTGAGCAACACAGACCTACTATAAGGTTCATTCTTATCTTTAATGTTATCATATATAAAGTACTAACTAGTAGCTGGTAGATTGTTGGAAAAAATGAGTTGATCATGGTGGTGACCACACTTTGTGCTTCTTGCTGTACATTTTGTGGAATTTGTTTGGGTTAACTAGACAATGGCAGCCTATTTGAATATCAGTGGGAATAGAATGTGTGAAGCAATTAAGACTTCTATTTGATTGGTGTGGGCTTATTACTCTGCCTGTAGAAATTCTTCACTTCTTTTCTTCTGGTTGTGGGCTTACAATGCATATTCACGTGATAACAGTTCTTTTCCCCAACTTTCAGGTGCCTTTTCTCTCCATGGATTTGAATGCATTGGCCAATCACCTATCAAAGGTTAAGATTTCTCGGAGACTTTTTATAGAAGAGGATCTATTTCCTGAGGATATGGTATGTTCTTCATTATACCTGTTCTGTTACATTTGTCAGGTTTCTAAACATTGAAATGAACAGTATTATTGTCTTAAGTTTTTCTAGTAAAGCCATAACCATAACCACCCATCCACATTTCCTCGGGAGCCTTATTTTGAAAATGCTATGAGTGCCTGAACGAGGGATCTCGCTCCTCCTATTGCTAATTTGCATCGGATTTCTGTCTCAATAAATCCTTAAACCCGTCACTACCTTCTTCATTATTCAGTAGTGACAGGGTGCTTTGATGCTCTGGCTGTTATGCTGCTACAGATGCATTTCTTGCCATTTTGGCCACAGCCCAATTCTTTCAGCAACACTAGCCAACAGGGCAGTTCCCAGCACACTCAGAAGCAAAGCTTATTATAACTTCCAATCGGCATCTTTTTGCTGTTCTATCACAACAGTATTGCAGTATCTGGCCCATTTCATTTTTTGTTAAACCTCTCTTTAGCTTGTTTTGTGCATGGTAAGTACCATGGTTTTAAAGGCGGCGCCTAGGCATCCAGGTGTTCAAAAATCCAGCAGCTGTCATTGTTGCCATTTCCTAACTCCGGCGCCCGTCGCCCGTCGCCTGCGCAGAACTTGTTCTGTTCAGCTGAGGTGTGATAGATCTGGAAGGGAGCAGCAGCACAGTCAATCTGAGAGGGCGCAGCTCATTGAGGAGCAGAGAAGCGGTAGGAGGGCTGGAGGAGTATTTTTTCTTCGAACAAGGCAGGAGAGTTGCATTGTCATTTCATTAAGTTAGGATAAAAAAGGAGCACAATGGGCTTGGGGAAAGAAACTGAAAGGCAACAAAACAACCAAACACCAAAGACCCCAGCGCCTAAGCTGCTAGAGTCAGCGACTAAGAGAGAAAAACTCCAAGCTTAGATACTCCTGCCATGGTCCATGGACTAGAGGCTACACTCATCCTTAATGGTATGTAGCAACCCATGGACGCTACACCTCCCATCAGAGAGCTCCCACTGGTATGGTGCAGGGAACCCATGGCAAGCCTTACCCTCGCTTGTGCAATGCGAGGAGACCGCGACTCGAACCCGGGACCTTCCGGTCACAGGCGGTAAGACTCTACCGCTTGCACCAGGCCCAGAATTCCGGTGCTTCCTAACCTCATTGGTGCAACTGCACAAAGAGAGAGGTAGAGGGGAAGTGAGAGGTGGCGTGGACTGCGGGATGAGAGTTTTTGGGGAAACCTATATGCAAGTCAGGGGTGGTTATACAGGCTGGCTGGTGGGCTGGGCCAGCCCCTTTCGTCTCCTCCGTTCACCTTTTTCTTTTTCTTCATCCTCTACGCTGCTGCCTTGCTGTTTCTCATATTGTTACGGTGTCACCTAGGCGATTAGAAGGTGCCTTAAGAACCATTGTATATACAATTTCTAGGCAGGTAAACTAATGCTTCTGCTGGCTATTGGTATCTAATTAGCTGCTTCGTCCTCCCTTGGTTGCCCTTTTATTTTGTTTCTCGTTGCAGTTTACAGGCTTAATTTTATGTTTGCTGACAGTAACATGATATTAATTTTATTTGGTTAACATGCTTAGCGTACTCAAGTTTCCTTCATATCCATTAAGCTTACTTTGTATCCCTTGATCTGTGTTATTATTTCTAGGCTGATGCATCAGAAGACAATGAAATAGCGATTGAACTTGACACCTCTGTGGAAATTGATGCTAAAGGCAGTTCAGTTGGACATAACTTGAACTTTGAACCCAGGAAAGGTCATGAGTGTGCTAGCAACATCTGCGCTGATGATCAGATAAAAACAGAACGTCAGTTGCAATGTTGTGCACGAGAAACTACAGGATCTCCAAAGATTAGTACTCATTCAGTGAATTCAGATAATGAAGAAGATAAGACCTACAAGCGAATCATGGATACTGATCCTGGTACAAGCCATAGCAAAGGGTTGATGTTTGAGGTGGGTGCTTCAGAAGAAGAACTTGACATGCTTCTCAATTCATTTAGCGGAACTCACCTTTCCAGCGCCAATTTGGATGAACCATTTGAACACGCTTCAACTTTGCAGGAGATCAGTTTGTCGAACGAGAAGGTTGAACCTAGCTTGTCTTCCAAACCACCTTTGCTTGCACCTCTCGACGATGCTCTAGATGACTTGCTTTCAGAGACTTCCCTTGATGTACAGAGTGAAGGTTTTGCTACGCTAAGTACAACTTCTCAGCCAACTGCTAATTCTGGTCAGAACATTGGCTTCAGAGATGCTAAGGAAATTGATGTGACGCCATCTATTGATGATTCGGTGGATGATTTGCTTGAAGACACTTCATCATGCTTAAATGAGCCAAAGCAAACTACAACTGCACAAGCATCGAACAGCACCCCACTTGATAGTGTACCCCTTCATTCTGGTCCCTTAAATGCATCTGCATCGGATGATTTTGATTCATGGTTTGATTCTCTATAGGACAGAAAAAGGTTGGTGAGGTGGGGAAGTGATGACTGGCTTCAGGGAATCTTGGGCCTTTATGCACTCCATTACTGAACTAAACTTTGTAACATTACGAGAACAATCTCTCTTTTTTTTAAGAGATGACAAGAGCTCTGTCGTTCTAGCTCTTCCCCAATTCCTTCTCGATCTACCCCTCAACTCAAATCAAATAGTTCACCAACTACCGCCGCTGCTTGTGCTCGGCTGCTCCTCCTCAAAGCCACCCCTGCCTTCTCCGCTCTCTTTGCTGCCCTGCCGTCTTCTCCCCCAGCATTAGCGACATCATGGAAGCGGAGCTTGACGCCGGTGCTGCCCCAGATGCTGATGAAGGTTCGGGCCTCAACTCCCCTTTTTCGGCTGCCGCGACGGTGAAGAACATGCGGTCCAAGCACAAATGCGAGGATACCCTCCTCAGCATATGCCGGAGCTACGGCATATCGACCGAGCTCTACAAGCCGGTGTGCGCCAAGGACGGGTGGGGGCCGTGCAGGACGCCGCCGGAGGCCTCGAATGCGCTGTGCGTGTTCGAGGCAATGTTGGAAGCCGGCGTGAGGTTTCCTCTACACGAGCTGTATAACAAGGTCTTGACGTATTTCAATCTGGCGCCGAGTCAGCTCGTCCCCAACGCGTGGCGACAACTGGCTGGCTTCGTGCTGGTGTGCGAGGATGTCGGCATCACGCCAATGGCGGCGGTGTTCCGATACTACTTCAAGCTCTTCCCGGTCGGGAACGGGTGGTACAACTTCAAAGTTAACTGAAGCTGTCTGTTCAAGGCTGACGGCGGGATTCATGTCAACACGAGATGGAAGGAGAGGTGGTTCTTTCTCGACTCCCTCATGGCTGACAATCCTTGGCGATGTCCTCAAGAGTGGGGGACACCCAGGAAGGGAGCCAACGAGACTCTCCAGCTCACGCAAACCGCGTGGAACGCCATGGACAAGCTGAATGCCGTGAAAGAGGAGAAGGGCATAAGTCTGATGAAGCTCATCATCGACAAGTCTCAGTACAACCACAACTTCCCCGTTCTCCCTCCGTTGCATGAACAAATCAAATCTGAAACTGAAGCTAGCGATGACGATGATGTGACTCCGAGCACCCACCCGCCTAAGAGGCCACCACGTTTGCCTACCACTGCCACTGCCATCACCATCACCGCTCCAAGTCAGCGGGTCATAGGTACGACGTCATCGGCACCGCCGGGTTTCACTCCTGTGATGTCACCTAGGAGCACCGTTGCTGGCAACAACGAGCTTTCCAGGCCGCAGATACAGGATGCATTCAGGGAGCTACGCCTAGCCAAGGAAAATCTTGCGTCGGAGCAAGCTGCACGTGCCAAGGCGCTGGAGGACTTGGAAGCTGAACAGAGCAAGACGCGCCAACTCACAGGTCAGCTACAGGTGGTGCAAGCTGAGCGCGACAAGGCGCTTATGCAGCTCAAGGAGATGGGAGCCGAGTTGACGGTGCGCTGGGCCGAGCACACGGCCAGGGTCCGCCAACTCGAAGCCGAGCACGCGACCAAGGTTAGCCACTTGACGCAGCTGCTTCGGACGGAGGAAGGCATGCATATGGCCAAGGTCCAGCGACTGGAATCGGATCTTGAGGCGGCGCAAGCTGAGGTCGCCAAGGCGCTTGGGCAACTCAAGGAGATGAGAGCTGAGTTGACAAAGGCACAGGCTGAGGATACAGACAGGGTCTGCCAACTTAGAAATGCCTTTCAGGCGGCGCAAGCTGAGGGAGCCAAGGCGCTTGGGCAACTCAAGGAGACGAGAGCTGAGTTGACAAAGACACAGGCTGAGCATACATACAGGGTCTGCCAACTTAGAAATGCCTTTGAGGCGGCCGAAGCTAAGCACGTGACCAAGGTCAACCGTCTCGTGGAGGAGCGCAAGGAAGTAGAAGCCAACCTCCAGCAGTTGGCAGAGGAACTCGAGGCAGAGAAAGCAAAGCACGCTGCCGAGGTGAACGCCATTAGAGCACAGTGCTACTCCCAGATCAAGGCTGACGCGATCAAGTGCATCAATGAGCTGATGCCCGAGCCACTTCCTGTTATGGGTAAGCTGATTAACTAGCTCTTGTTCTTCATTGTGAATGCGAAAATTCAATTCTTCTTTTTAGCTCGTTTTCGGATCTTTAGGAATTAGGAGTGACAATATACAACCTTCAAGTGATGGTCTTCATTTTAAGGTTTTGCTAAGTAAATGTGAAGCATTGATCTGAATATTTATTAATACATATTACCTCGTAAATGTCAACCATTGATCTGAATATTTATTAATACATATTACCTCGTAAATGTCAACCATTGATCTGAATATTTATGTATTTCTTATATTAGAAAGTAGACAAAATAGTAGGCAACATTTCTTGTAATTGGATCCATTAGCTTCAATACTAATTAGAATTAGATGTAAGGTCTCAAACTTGATTGGGTGAATGTGTGTCAGATTGAACATGTCCTTCAACATCTTTTAATCAGACCCCTCTTCAGTGCCTGTTGTTTTTCCATATGATCCCATGCTTCATGCTTGATGAAGCCTCATTGTGGCATTGTCCTTCAGGGGTGGCTGGGAGCAAGGTGGCTGACATCAACTTCCTAGAGGAATCAGCAGGGGTGGCTGGGAGCAAGGTTGCTGACTGCATGCTCCTAGAGGAACCAGCAGCAATCAAGCAAGTCGAGTTGATGGGTGGTGAGAAGACTCACGCCTGTGAGACTGATCCTGTCCACAGCCTCCTTGTGAGTACTTTCCCTGATTCAGTTACTTCTTTCAACCCGGAGCTCTCAAACTGTCATACTACAGTAACTCAAGAACATAGCCAGCCTGTTACGCAGTCCCCTAATTTGTTGGGCTTAGTTATCACGTCTCCCTGTTCCAGTGAGTTAGCAAACAACATTGATCCAGTGGACAACACAGTCATACACAGCCACAACCTGACCAGACTTTGACCAGAAACCGTTTTGATGACAATGGAGTTCTGTTGGAACCAATGGATGTCTTCCTAGAATCAATTTCTTGCGCCTTACCACAACCCATTTTGCCTCTCGAACACTTGTCCGAGGACAAACATGAAACACTGCCAACAACTAGTACAGCCAACCATACAAATGGTACCCAAACTGAGTCCTAAAATTGGAAGTTGCTCAGTTCAAAGGAAAAGCACTAGGCTGGCTGGAAAAGAAAAGGATAGAAAGCGTAAAAGACGCCATGGTCGTGGCTCAAGAACTGTTAGTTAAGAAACTAGGAGGGTTAACATCAGATAGTTCTGCACGCAAGTCTGCTGATTTTGAATTTTTTGCACAGCACTTTGAAAGGCCTATCAACAAGAACAAGATGGATGCAGTCAAGGTCATTGAGGCCAGCACCAAGCCAGCATGCAAGACCAAGAACACTGTCACCAAGAAAGCAGCAGCATCAGAGGAAGTGGAGGAGCTGATGGCAGCATGAAGGCCTTAGGCCAGTTATCAGTGGTGGCTATTTTCAATGATAGTCACGCACAAGGGGAAGGTCAGTTCGATTAGAGTTGGTCAGAGTCAGGCCTTCGTTGTCTGTGTGTACTGGGCCTGCGTGCCTGCTAGTGATGAGTATGACGTCTTTGAACTACGGTTCTGTTCGATCTATTCGGCCTGCTGGCTGTGTTGACTTCGGTCGCTTTGAGTCGCGTATGTGGAACTTGTTGTGGATGAGACCTTTCAGGCCTGCTGGCTTTGTTGCCTTCGGCCCTTGAATCAAACCACATGATGCAGGTTATCAATCTTGTGGAGGTGCCTGTACTCGTCATTGGTCGTTACGATGATTCCTTCTTAGAACTTGCAAAAGATGTACTGATTAGTGATTACAGTATGTTCAGCCATTTACTGTGGATGCGTAGAAGCTGTTTCTTTACTTCTTCAATCCTTGACGATAAATTGACAAAAATTATAAGCCTGCTAACATGTAACCTTGCTTAGAAATATAATACCTTGAAATTTTCTGCATTTTATTATTAATCAGAATTACAACTGCATGTGTTATGCAAAAACTACCAAAAATATTTTGCTGTAACATCCAAGTATTTTGCTAACATGTAACATTGTTCATGATTTTAAGAATAGAGGCTACAGCAGGAACCATGTAATCTGCTAGGGTCTGATCCGTGAAGAGGCAGACGCCACCATGGAAATGAGTTCTGACTTCTGAGGGGTTCGTACTATAGTATACTAGTAGTCTAGTAGATGTCCAGAGACGCTTAGGTTGATGGCATAATCATGCGTGTACAATAACAATTGCTGGTTTCAGCATGTGCTGTTGTGACAAAGTGAATCAGAGCCCTGATGCCTAAACTGAATATTCAGACTCACATTAATAGATAAATTTATAGACGTTTTACCGTATATTCTGAAATATTTACTTTTTATTTTGTCCTAGGAAGATTTATCTTTGGTGCCGTTACCTCCTGATCTCCCAAGAAAATTAGATCTGCATAACAGTTTTGACTTCTGAAGATGGCATGCTCTGTTTGGGATGTATTTGGCCAGTCATGAAACTGAGATGCCTCTATTTGAAGGTCTCGTAGCAGGTTGGAGTTCTGCTTCAAGGAAGCAGCATGGACCATCAAACATAACAGACTGGAGATATTTTGCTTGGAATGCTTTTTGGACAGTCATAGAACTGAATGGTCTAGTAACAAGTTGATGTAGTTCGGCAAACATGGATGCAACGATTTCATACTACATGTGCATGGGCAACATTATGGAGGCTTTTACCTGTGTACCCTTAAAAAAGATGCCATACTCCTACGTACCCTTCAAAAGTTGGTCGTTAACTACATGCCCTCGCTCGAACTTTTCTTTTCCCTCACGCCATTCCGTCGGCATTTACTCCTAACGGTGGATAACGGCTCTGGAGAATGACTCAGTTGCCCTTGGGCTTGTATGGGCGTCTGAACTTTTTCGTTTCCCCTGTGCCATTGCCAGGCCAATTAATCCAATGCGTGTAACCGTGTACGTAGTATGTTGCAACTGCTCTATATAAACAAGATCGCCGATCTCAGCTGCTCTCCACGCACACACACTGCACGCACACCCGAGTACACTAACATACAGCTAGCTTATTGCGTTTGGTGCAATAGCCGGCCGGCCGCCGGCCCTCATGGCTCCGCCGCCGCCGCCGCTTTCGATAGACACTTTGTGCGGAGCTGCGGCAAGCGGCGAGGCGGCGGAGGAGCCTCTGAGCCCTACAGCACGCATGTTCCACGATTTCTACATCGTCGCTGTCCTCGGCCTCGGCAAGCCCATCGACTTGGAACCTGCCCGCGCCGGCGTCGGGGCCACCCTCGCGCGCCACCCCCGCTTCTGCAGCATCCGAGTATATACGTTTTTCTTCCTTTTTTTTTCTTTTGCAATATACAAGTTGGTGTTACTTTAGAATTAGAACTAATACTTGCATGCACGTTGGAGCATGCAGGAGATGGACGGGGCAGAGCCGCGGTGGGTCCGCACGACGGTGAACCTGGACGACCACATCATCGTCCCGGACCTGGACCGCGCCGCCATCACGGCCGACCCCGGAGGACTACGTGGCGTCGCTGTCGACGCTCCCCATGGACCAGTCGCGGCCGCTGTGGGAGGTCCACGTGCTGGACTTCCCGACCTCCGAGGCGGCGTGCGCCGTGGCGCTCCGCATCCACCACGCGCTCGGCGACGGCACGTCGCTGGTGTCGCTCCTCCTGGCGTGCACGCGGAGCGCTGCCGACCCCAGGGCCCTGCCGGCCATGCCATCCGCGCAGCCGCCGCCTCCTCCCAGTGCGCGGCGCAAGCAGGGCCGGCGCGTCTACGGCGCCCTGCCGAGGCCCGCGTGGTCGGCGGGCGCCCTGGCGCTCGCCGCGTGGGTCCTGGCGTGCGCCGTGCTCGCGTGGAACACCGTGGTGGACGTGGCGCGCTTCGTCGCCATGGCGCTGCAGCTGGTGCGCGACCCGCCCACCGTGTTCGCGGGCGTCGAGTTCAGGCGCAAGCGGTTCGTCATGCGCACCCTCAGCCTCGACGACGTCAAGCTTGTCAAGCAGGCTCTCGGCTGTGTGAGTAGTCGTCGTAACACACCATGCATGCGCATTTTTATTCTTCTACCGTTCTACGTACTGCTAGCTGTATAGACACGACGTGCATGCGTGCATGTTGTTTTGACATGATCTGTTTGTTTCCATGCCTGCCTGCCTGCCATTGCCTTGACATCGACGCACTGCACAGACGGTAAATGGCGTGCTAGTGGGGGTGACGTCTGCTGCTCTGTCTCGGTATCACTTCCGGAAGCTAGGTGATGAAGGCACAAGCAGAAGCACATGCTTTAGATCGGTCCTTTTTGTCAAAGCCAAAGCCAATTGGCCTGACAATGGCATAGGAAGAATGAAAAAGTTCAGACGCCCATACAAATCTAAGGGTAATTGAGTCATTCTCCAGAACCGCTATCCACCGTTATGAGCAAATGCCGACGAAATGGCGTGAGGGAAAAGAAAAGTTCGAGCGAGGACATGTAAGTGACGACCAACTTTTAAAGGTTACGCAGATGTGATATCTTTTTTAAAGGTATACAAGTAAAAGCCTCACCACGGAGCCTAGGCGACTAGCCCAACTGAGTGGCTCGATTTGGATGCTGAACATGACCCATCTTATGCACTCATTCATGGCCTTTAATTTTTTGAAAAAAAATGCACAACTTCTTGCACATTGCAATAATTCAATATGTAAGGACTGAAGAATATTAGCACTATTACATCCTAACTTGTATATATCCCATATCAGCACCAGATCTACATTTAGCCACATTTAATTAGTTGACTTATTTAGGGTCCGTTTGGTTGGGCTTTTGGCCCCAAAAACCAAAAGCTCAACAAAAAGGCTGATTTTGAAGGCTGTTTTTTCAGAAGTAGCTACTTTTTCATAGTATATTTTTGAAAACTGGTTTGATCCTGCTTTTGTCTTTTGACCTTTGATTTTATGTTTTTCGAAATTGGTGGAATAAAAAGCTCTTCCATAGTTGTTTCCATAGAGATAAAAATAGAAGGTATATTTTATACTTGTTTAACTAAACAGCTTTAAGCTTCTTTACAGTTCACATGCCACAACAGTTTTCCCATAGCTCACAGCCCACAGCAGCTTTTTCCCACAGTCACAGCTCAACCAAACACACCCTTAGCCACATTTACCTTTTTGTCCATTTGCCTCACTGCCCCTAGACTGTGGCCCCGTTCGCGTGCCCTTAAATCCGGCTTGATCCGTATCTTTTTTCATCCGAATAGTGTTTTCTCTCACAAAAAATTCCTCCAGCATTCCTCCAAGCGAACAGGCCCCGTATGTTGAAGTGTAGCCCCTAGACTATATGATGGAATGTAAAGGTAGCACAATGCACCTTTTATATTCAGTTTGTTTGAATTATAATTGGCTAACATTGCTGCTCCCTTCCTATTGCTGGGAAAAGAAAACTAAAAATTGAGAAACGAAGCATCAGACTGCTGTGTGTCAGCTGTTAGTTTTCGCCCATTCGTTCAATTTCCAGCAGACAACCTTGCATTTATGGTAACATTTGAACTAATTCTGGGCTGTTTATTTGGTACACGGTGGTGGCCAACAGGCCAAGTTTGATACCTATGTGGCTATGCATGTTTGAGATTTTGGATTCGAATAGGGAAAATGTGACAATAGAAATGGCACAGACCTGACAGCCACGCGGAGTGAGGACTGAGGAGCCGATGAAAGATAGTATATACGCCACCCAGCCAGCCAGACCCAGCGCGCTCGTTGCTGAGTCGAGGCGTGCGCAGCAGGCGACGAGACAACGGCGGCCAGCAGCACGTCACCCTGAGCCTGCGCGCCCCTCTAACTCCTTAAAATGCTTATATGTATACAGCTTGGCCTTGCTATTCACAAATGTCTATCAGCTTCTCCTGCTTCGATACTTGCCTATCTGTGACATGACCTATTCCTACTTGCTTTGTCAACTACTTTACTTTACCTATTTTTCAAAACCTATATAGATATATCTGCATAAACCGCTCTTGTCTTCACTGTCCGTGCCGCGTCTGGCCGCAGGCAGGGGCAGGCGCCGTGCGGCATGACGCTCCGGCGAGCCCAAGGTCAGCCTCGGCAAGGCAACGACGCGTCCCGCTCAAAGCGGATGCAACACCGGCAGCTGCGCCCTCTGCCACCCTGGAGCAGCTGGGGCTGTGCCACGTCGGGGGGCGAAGACGGCACGGCACGGCACGGCACGGAGGTTTTGTGCAGTGCAGGGGAGTGCCAGGACCGGGCCAAGACGGAGGATGCCAAGTCTTCAAGTGGGCCGAGCAATCCGCGAGCTAGCAGGCCCAAGACCAAGAACTCCCGTGTGTCTGAACTGGGCCCGGCTGGGTTAACAGCCTGGGCGCATAGCCGCGTGTGCCACGTCGCGGGTCAAAGCGGCAGTGGTGAAGGCGGTAGCGCCGGCGTCGGAGTTGGCAAGGGGATCGGGATCGGCGTGGAAGTGGAACCTTGGCGTAACTTTTCTAGCCCTTGTTTAGTTCATCCAAAATCCAGAATTTGACACTATGCAAAAAAGATTCCGTCGCGTCAAACTTGCAGTCGTGTATGGTCTAAATGTTGGCCGAAATCAAAACTAATTAGCACAAGTTTGGTTTGTACGGTAGAGATGAACGTTTTGATCCTAATTAGTCAACGATTGAACAATTATTACCGAATACAAACGAACAAGTTACTGTAGCTACAGTTGTAGCTGATTTTGGCGGCGCCAACTTGGCAGGTGAACTAAACGCGGCCCTAGCTTGTTAGGCACGAGCGACGAGGCTAACACTACTGGTGGTTTGGGTATAAATAAAATGATCCACGTAGATTAGAAAATATTGAAATTACTTTTTACACGATACAAACTATTACCATTTATAGTCTCAACAATATCATTTTTCTTTCATCATACGTCACTTTTATCTTATCTCCTTTTCTTGCATGGACCACGTACCATGTTCTCTCTCCCTAAGTATATGTAACTTATGCAGGTAACTATGATAACTAAATATAATATGGTATCTGATCTTACGTGGATTTTGGGATATTTCTAAAGCCACTGCGTTGGGAAGACCTTACTGCATGTGTTTTCCGATTCAGATGTTGAGCCAACTTTAAGGCCTTGTTTATTTTGCACCTGATATTTTCGATAAAAAAAATGCGAGAATCCCACACGGTCCTACCAAACGCCTTTTCAACTAAGGTCTTGTTTAGTTGGCGAATTTTTTTGAGAAGTGGTACTGTAGCACGTTCGGTGTTATTTGATAATTAGTATCTAATTATAGTCTAATTAGGCTTAAAAGATTCGTCTCGTGAATTTCGTCTAAATTATGTAATTAGTTTTATTTTTTTATTTATATTTAATGCTTCATACATGCATCAAAGATTTAATGTGATGAAGAATCTTGAAAAATTTTACAAAATTTTGAAAACTAAACAGAAACTAACAAGATCGAAAAAAAATCATACAGTATACGATGTTTATAAAAGTGTGCGGTCAGTAGAAACAAAACAAGACGACTCGAATCACCAAACTTTAACGCATGTGCCGTGCGTACTAGCTCTGCTCTCTGATTCAGATGTTCAGCCTGTGTGCTGCTGCCTCGTACTAGTACTTCGTAGGTAGCCTAGCCACTGGTTTTGTCGAAGACCACTTCAGACGCGTCACTCATGCTAACACTTGTTTAGTTGAACCCTAAAGTTCAAAAAGTTGCTACAGTATCTGTCACATCGAATATTTGTGGCCCGTGCATGGAGCATTAAATGTAGACGAAAATAAAAACTAATTACACAGTTTGGTGGGAAATTGCGAGACGAACGTTTTGAGCCTAATTAGTCCATATTTGAACACTATTTATCAAATAAAAACGAACGTGCTACAGTAACTCCAAAATCCAAATTCACCCAACTAAAAAGGGCTAAATCTTTCTGGACCACAAGCGTCTGGAAAAAGGAGGAAAAAAAACTAAATCTTTGTGAAAAAGTTACGTACGACACCTGAACCGTGATCTAGGCCGCGGGTTTAGTTTCAAACCAAGATCCTAAAAAGTGCTGATAGTCATCACATCAAATCTTTTCGATATGTATATAGAGCATTAAGTAGATAAAAAAAAACTAATTACACAGTTTAATGAGAAATCGCGAGACAAACATTTTGAGCCTAATTAGTCCATAATTAAATATTAATTGTTAAATAAAAACAAAATACTACGATAACCCAAATTTTAAAATTCGGTCAACTAAAACGCGCCTATTGTCCTTCGCCCGGCCGGTTGTCACCGCGAAACTGACCATCATGAAAAGAAAAAATAGTTCGATGGAACGTTGCTTTTGATAGATGTTCATTTGTTTTGGAAATGGAAAGGGTAAAAAAATGCTACATTGGTACTACTACAAAGATTCGATTAGACTGGCTTAAATGGCTTTTATCGTTTCCGGTGTGCGGCCGGGTGGGTTTTCGTAGCTCAAGCTCATTGTTTTCCACTGGTACGCATGGTTCAGACACGTGGGCTCATTGTTTTCCGTTGATGATGCGCTGTCCACGTCGGAAAAAAATCCAGGTATTAGTATCGTCGGCTTCATAAACCGCGTCGCTTCACGGATCGACTTTCCAACAAAGACTCGATCCAGATAGATAAACGCAACTCATAAATTGACCTAAGTATCTGAACAACATACCAGCAGGGCGATCCAATCATTAATCGAAAAAGTCCGGCCGAGGAGAAAAGGCACCCGTTTTCCGACTCCAGCCCACCTCTCCGACCGGAGCGCTCACTTCGGTCTCTAGCCCGTCTCCAGACGGTCTCTCCGACTGGAAGGCCTGGCCAAAACACTACTTTCGACTCGGACCCCATGTCTCCGATCGGGGTACACAAAAACCCTGCTCGCTGCTCTTCACCGACCGGCGCAACCAGAGCCGACTGGGACCAACCGATCGGGGATGCTCGCTCGGCAAGGACCAGGGAACGAACGGAAAAAGTAAGGCAGGGCGCACAAGTCAAACCACGATACCAAGGACCATACCTTGTACGTCTGCAGAAACAGTACTCTGCAACCTCCCTGACACACAATGTTGTAGGTGCCGACATTTTCTCTACAGTAT